ATTTCTATGTATGTGGAAAATGTAGTTGATTACCAAAGGTTACAATTTTTATTTTGAAGACTGCATGGTCTAGGAAGTGTTCTAGGGGCGAGTTGACTGCCAAAGATGACTGCCAAAGAGTGTTGCCAAAGTGCGAGCCAGCGTGTTATTTGATCACAAGTGCGAGACATCGCAAGTGTGAGCCAGCGAGCCATGACGTCACGACAATAGATACGAGACGTTACTCGAGTTGTAGAGGTATCGGCTGAGATTTGTGGAGTACAATTCAAAAAACAACTATAGGTCTAATAATGAATTATTGTGATGTTAAATAAACAATGTTAGCTATCAAGGAGCGACGTTGTTTTTCATTGGGACCTTTGTCCCTTCAAGGCTAGGCCTATACCATACTAGTTAGTCTAGGCCTAGAGTAGGATAAGGCTAGTGCGACACGCGGACGTTGGTATGTGTTGGTTAGTCTAAAACGTCGCCTAAAGCAATTGATTTTACCCGGCAGAACGAAAGAAGGAAACTATGCTTTTCAGTCGTCTTAGGCCCTTGTTTTTTGACAAACAATGACCTTTCAGGTCAAATTGCTGTCAAGAATATGAATTGGCTGCTTTGCAGCAAAAAAATGTAAAAAATAAATATTACAGCCAAATTTAAGTCTGATAGTCCTACAGTATTTCTAGCATTCTAGAGGTACCATAATCATGGTGGGGCTGAGGTGGTAGGCCTACAGATCCTCCATTTTTAAAAGTTCCTCCCTGGGCCCCCTCTTTCAAATTCCTGGATCCACCACTGCAGGTTATATGATTTTTTTTTGTTTTTAATTTATAAAATCATATTTAATGAAGATAATCATTATCAATGGCAAATTTCACTTTCTTATATGGTTGGATTAGAACAAACTGCAATTTGTGGAGATGGGGTGGTATTTTTACAAATGCAGTAATGCATAATAAAGTAAATGAAACTTATGAACGACATGTTTCGACGTATCCTACGTCATCATCGGGTAATAGCGCAATTATGCTAGTAACGGTTTACATACTACCGGTCAGATGTAAGACGAAACAAGCAAATATTAAGGTGTGTCATGTATATAGAGGTCAGGAATACTATGGAAATCATGTATGTAGGAATTAGAATGAATTAGAATGAGCAGTGATATTGTAATGAGTTGTTTGTTTGTTCAATGACAGATTTCCCCAAGTAATGTAAAGGGCTTCTTTTATTTTAAGTTGATATGTATTGTAGGCAGAGTCAAGGTGGTAATTTTCTTTTGATTATGTATATTATCTTATTGGATTTCAGAAAAATATTAGGGCACATAGAAAAAATTGTTAGATCACTCCCGTCTGCGTCAAAAATTTGGGAAATATTGATAAGAGAATGAACATTTTTTTTTTTTGCCGCATCATTTATTTCAACAGTATAAAAAAGACAATGCAATTTTGTGACTGGAAATATATGTTCTTTAAAAAACAATAAAATTAAACCAGTTTTTATACAATATTTACAATCTTGCCAAATAAAAACAGTCACTTCCTCATCGATAAAAAAAAGAGCTCAACATTTTATTGTTCCGATTAAAATTTAAAAAAAAAAACCGCCTGCCCTCATTACACTTTTCAAAAAAAACAAACAAGAGTGGTAATCTAATGTTTTCTATGTATACTTATATAAAATATTTAACATAATAAATGTACGTATTTATTTATATTCACAGAATGAAGACAGCTTTGTGTCACATAATTTTTTCATATTAGAATATCACTCTAACCATGGAGGTATATGCCTTAACCATCTTGGTAAATTGTTGAGGGCAGATGGTGGTACAGTATTTGTTTTCATTCAGGCCAAAAATTTGGCTATCAAAAACTAAAAATAGACCCATATGTCCCTGTGTTGTCATAACTGTCGTCAGTAAATCATGATTTGATGTAGGTATCTATATTATAATTATTATAACAACCGAGGGCCTAAATAAACTGTTTGAAAAACTGTAACAACATATATCATTGAAGGCCCGATCGTGCAAAGTGATATCAATCCATATTTCAGATTAATTGTGGGAAAAATAATGAATTTTAGACTTTTTTCACTGCCCTGTGCCTTTCCTGGACCAAAATGATGTTTACATATTTCTGCATTCCAGTCGTATTTGTGGTTTTTATATGGAACGGCAAAAGAACAACATTCAATGTTCATTTCTGAGGTTTTATATGGAATGCTAAAAGGGCAAATTTCAAACACAATTGATTTTCAAGCACACTCGGGTTTCAGGCAGTCGGTTAACAAACATGTGGATTTTTGTCAAGCGCAGTTGGTCTTCGGGTTCTCAGCTTTAGCTGCCCCTGGCCAAAATATGTTTAGTAATGGTATATTATAAAGCTAAAACGTTTTCCAAGGGAAATTATGGAGAGAATACAAAATATTTCCCTACACCAATTAACACTACTGCTGTTTCATCTCATTGTAGTGTTTTCTAAATATTCTTATGTTGAAAAATGGTATGAAACTGCTTTCAAAACCATGCAACCCATCTTCTTTTAGTGGTCATTTGTTCTTTTTTTTTAATCAAAACTAATCGCAACATTCACATACTAGGATAAGCAAAACACCCTCTAGTTTTTAAAATTTTAAACATAGTGCATGTATCTCATTTTTTCCGATTGGTCAGAACACTTCCTGCGATGAGATTCAAATTTGATTTCACATCCCAGACAAATGAACCTGACGATGTATTCAAATATTACAAGTATAATTATGCATCAAATGCATAACAATTGACAATGACATCAAACCACCCCAAATTAATCATTACTTCAGACCAAAAACTTGCTACTTCATTGTATCTGTTTTTTGTTTTACAACAGTATTTGCAAGAACTGATTGTAAAATTCTTTTTGAGTATGCTAAGGTGGGGAAAAAAAAACAAAAAAAAACGTCGTCACGATTGTTAAAAGACCATGAATGGTAAGCTAAAAATGAATGGGAATTCCAATCAATCATGGACCCCTAATAAGTTCCTTCATCAATGACAGTGTTTTTGAGAATGTGGAGAAAATATTGACAGCATTGATAAGTTTATTGAGTTATAATGTGGCAGACATTCAGTAATCAAATATAAGTAGGCCTACTTTAATTATATATTTAACTTGTTTTAAAACAATTGGATTAGGATTAGTGCCATACAGAAGTAAAGCATGCCACTGACAATAAAATTTAATAAAACACTGAATAGTGTGCGAAATTATAACTTTAGATGAACAATGTGATACGGTCTGGGGTGCATCATGGATGACAATCTTTTATCTACTAACTATAATAAGGCCTAAGGCCAGTCTTAGATATATTTTATGTACAGTAGTCAATATTCAAAACAAACACATCTAGGTTTTCAAACTAAAAGAAAATTTGAGCTTGGTGACAGACAAAAGACTGGACGAAAAACAACTCTGTTCCTTGATCGAACCATGATTGAACCAACTCCCTGAATGAGCAAAGTTCTTTTCACAAGTTCTGATGTGCTGCACAATATTATTATAATTATAACTTTAACAAGCTCGTTTTTACACTAGACAAAATGGCATGAACTATGAAGACCTAGACAAAGAGTTTACCAGATTACAGTGATAAGTACTGGAAAACCAAGTTCATAATGTGAAATAAGCCGTCGCCGAAAATAAATCGGGTACACATAAAGTGAAATCGACAGATAGTAACTGTACCGTCTAAACCACCACAGGAACAGAATAGATCGACAATTGGGCGGCTGTATGACGCACAGCGTCCGAAACTCGACGAGTGTGCCGAGTACCGCTAATGAAAAACACTAATATTTGTTTAAAAGGGAAGAATTATTATATACTAGCATTATTATTTAGTGTACTGTACACATATTACTTGGAATATACAAGATTACCCACTTACTAGACGTAAATTATTAACAAATTTATGAATTTTCTTCTACGCTGTGTGGCGATTCAGCAGCTGCAATCTGCTTTCTTTACATGGCGGGTATTGTTCCGTTTTGTAAATTACCCATCATGCATTGCGCACAAGCTGCCTTTTGCGACACTCTCGACCGAAAATGTTGTCGATGTTGGGGCGACCGTCTGTGAGCTGATTTTATCGATATCAACTTATATACGTCATTGCTTAATTCGTTTTCAAATTAACCTCATTAAGCGCCTGTAGAGATGAAATGAACTTTCAATTTCAGATTTAAATCCTAGATTTGCTTGGTTTAAGCTCCCGTTTAGGCTGCACAAGTTATCAACAAGACACGGCGTTTTGCTGCCGATTTTGGTCAATGCCATTTGCCGGTACTGGTGGTGTCTTCTTTTATTAATCATAATCATAATCCCGCGTCGCGTGTGGATGGGCCATCCGAAGAAAAGCAGGGCGAATAATGTAACATTATGTAACTATTCTATTTTTGTAATAATTTATTATTTCCTGCAACAATGAAATTTTAATTATATTTCGTTTCCTGATTTAGTAGTTGGTGTACTCAGCTGGTACAGCTGAGCTCTTTCACCTGAGTAAAACGCCATCAGGCATAACGTTTAATAGATTAGATAATGTAATTTTAATGTTATATGACGACCCCTATTTCTTATGCTTTCCATAATGGATCATTTTTTTAAATATACGTGTTGCGCCCAGGCAGGAACACACACGGTCCCTCACTTATAGATAAGGGGGACGAAGGTCACGCGTCCCGACATATTTTTTTGGGGAATTCATCATCCTGAATAAATAATTACAAATGTTTTGAAAGTTGAAGTGGCCTCAAAAACCACCAAGGAGTACTCTCCCCTGTACCTTGTAATAATAATAATAATAATAATAATAATAATAATAATAATAACAATAACAATAATAATAATAATAATAGATAGATAGATAGATAGATAGATAGATAGATAGATAGATAGATAGATAGATAGATAGATAATATTGATAGTAATAAAAAAAAATAGGTCTAATAATAACGATAATGATAATGAGATGATGATGTTGATGGTGATCATGAGTAATAATAATAATAATTATTATTATTATGATTATTATTATTATTATTTATTATTATTATTATTGTTATTATTATTATTATTATTATTATTATTACTACTACTACTATTATTTTAATGATAGTATTTTCGTTGAAATAGGAACTTATAATGATCCAACTTACAATTCAGTAACAACAGGCCTGTTTTTTTTTTGTTTTTTTTTTTTTTTTACACTTTACATACACTGATGATTATAATTTATTAATAATTAGTTTCGATGATACTAAATCATAATCATTACTGTATGTAAAATTTAAAAAAAATGTATCTATTGCCTTCAATAACAAGGGTATATGTAGGCCTAATTACCAATTGTTATTTTAGTTTTGTTTAGAAATTAATTTTGATAGCAAGTCTTGAATTGCATAATTAATATCGAAAAATTGAATCCCAATACTCGGAGCATGTAGGCCTATTAGTATTATAGTCTCTTATCTGATATTTCAGTGAACCTTTCGGTCAAGTGCTGTCAGTATTGTGATATATCACAGTTTATTGTTAGCGCCCTCTATACAAATATTCTTTCACACGGCAAACTGAATGAAAAAAAAAAAAAATCCTGATTTCCACATCATCTGATATTATTAGGTTGAGGTTCAGCTAGTGTACAACACTCAAAAGCGATAGAAAATGTAATACATTACCCCCCCCCCCCACCTCCCCGCGGCGCTTATTCGAGAGCGGCGCTTATTCGAGTATTTACGGTAATCTTAGTGCTTCCCCATCGTCTGATAGCCCTATGATAATGTGTATACTGATAAAATCAGAAAAATTTCTAAACTGCTCATTTAAAATAAACAAATAAATTAAATCCACTTCCAATACGTTATTACCTGCGATGAATTATTATTTATACGTCGGCTATTGATGACGTCGGCTATTTGATTCACTAGAACATAAAGACATATTCACATACTTGATAAAAATTGGAGTAAATGAAAATTATGTCCCAATCATTGAAGAAATATACACGGATGCAACGGCCATAATAATACATTTATAAGACAATGATGTATCCAAACCCATTCATATCAATAAAGGAGCCGGTGCGCACCTCTCCCCCACACCCCTCCTCCCCCCACCAACATTTTTCAAAATTGTAAAAAAATTGAAAATAAAAATTACATTCAAATTTTAAGTCTGAGAGTGTAATTTCCGGTCATCTAGAGGTGACATAATCGTAAATTTTCTTACCTCAGCCCCAACTATGGTGGTGCTCAGTGGTGTAGAAAAATATTTTTCATTGGGGGGATGATTGGGGTCGTAACAGGCGCGGGGGCAGGGGGAAACTGCCCCTCCCCTGACGGATTTTACCGGGTTGACAAAGCCGTCGTACCGGGCAGGGTAATAAGAGAAAAGAAATAGGGGAGGTTGAGGGAAAGAGAAAGAAGAGGAAAAGAAAAGGAAAGAAAAAGAGAAGAGAAAAATAAAGACAAGAATAAAAAGGAAGATATCATAATGACCAGACTCACAACACCCTGCAACCCCTTCCCAACTGTCATAACTCCTTTGATCTATGCTGCCCGATGGCGTAACCACTGGGGAACAAGGTGAAAATATCTATCTTTGAAAAATCTTCCCCACCCCTTTATAAATGCCTTTTCCTCCCCTGAAAGTGCCTAAAAACCTCAAATTTCGTGCGCGTTTCTTGTTAACATGGCCCAATTTCCTCTAAAAATTGCACGTTTTAGAGAGTTTTGATCAATTCCAACGAAATTAACATTAAAAACACTGGGGGACAAGGGGAAAATATCCATCTTTGGAAAATCTTTCTCCACCCCTTGACAAATGCATCCTCTGAAAGTGCCTAAATTCTTTGCGCGCATTTCTTGTTAGAAGGGCCTCAATGTGTATAGATGGTGAATGAGGATTGTTGTTGTTGTTGTTGTTATTATTATTATTATGTTGTTTGTACTGTTCTTTAATGTTATTAAAGAGGGTCCTGAATATCAGTTAACCTACTGGGCTAAACTAGAAGGGTTACCCTCTATAAAAAAAAAAATAAATAAAAATAAAATAAAAAAATAAATACCCACTCTGACCCAAGACTACTGTTACGCGCCTGGTGTTAGCACCAATATGTGCCCTTGTGCGGACAGGAGATGTGCCCCCCTCTGAAGCTGGAAACCTTGTTTTGCAAAATAAATTGATGCAATTTCCTATTATAGGCCTAATCAATAAATTCCTCATCAACCGATATAACCTTAAACATTCTTGGAACTGACATAACATTACTGATGTCGTACACACCCTTCAGTGTGAAATGTGGCTCTCTTTGCCAGCACATCTAACATCTAAGGAAAGAAGAGCTTAGATTGGTACCGTACCAGATAAAATAATTTTGTTATCAACATTAATACATTGTGCTAATTTTCATCTTTGTAAGCGCATAATACAGTGCAAATTATTTCCGTGACATTCTTTTGAAGTGTGTAAATCTCCGTTTTATCCCATACATAGTCAAAATATTGGGGGGGGGGATGATACAATGGACCATTCCCCCCCCCCTTGTCAAATATTGGGGGGATATATCCCCATCCCCCGGGATCTACGCCTATGGTGGTGCTCAGGTGGTATTGATCCATCTGTCCAAGTCCCTCCCTGGCCACCTCTATTTCAAATTCATGGGATATCCCACTAAAAAAAACTTAAGACAACACAATATGATATGAAAAATGTTACACATCACTATGAGAGACTAGATCAAGAACACCGTAATAAGAGATAAAACAAAAGTCAAAGACATCATTGAAAGAAAAGAGGCACATGTGCAGATGGGCAGGACATGTTGCTCGCAGAGCAAAGACAAAGAGACTGACTGAATGGCAACCAAGATCAGGGAAAAGAAGAGGTAGACCAAAAATAAGATGACGAGATGATCATCTTACACTGGTGTAATTGGGCAAGGAAAGCTCAACTGAAGTAAGTAAGTAAGTAAATTAGTAAGTAAGTAAGTAAGTAAGCAAGCAAGTAAGTAAGTAAGTAAGTAAGTAAGTAAATAAATAAGTAAGTATTGATGACGAGGAAAAGGCTGTCCGTTTCTTCTAAATTTCTTCTCAAAAAGTTAAACATTTTTTCCATATTAAAACATACAAAGTACCGGTAAGCAATGCAAACATTTCTGATTTTGTCAATATATTTATCTGTATAAATTTTCTAGTGTTTGACACGTATTTTCATTCCAGAAGATTATGTGTTTAATTTGTTGCCAATAATAATTACCTACTACGAATTATTGCTTTAGAGAAACGTGTCATGAAGGACTCAATATGGGCCCTCCGATAGTCCACTAATTATATTACCGGTATCTCTTTGTAGCAACTTACACGCTTGAGCTACAATGCTACATGTAGGCCTAATAGGTCTACTTAGTGAGGTGAGTATATTACATTTTATCAGTGGCGTATTCAAGGGGGGGGGGGGTGGAAAAGCCTGCGCACCCAGGCGCCCCCCACCCCCCATTCGAAAACTTCGAAGCAAAAAAAATTAGGCTAGGCTTATGCTTATGCTGTCACGGTTAACGTGTATTCGGGAATCTAAGAAGCAATATTTTTCAGTGGGCGTGGCCACTGAAAATAAATTCCACGACACCTCATATTTTAGTCGCCCCCCCCCCCCATTTTAATACTGTTAGATACGCCACTGCATTTTATTCAATGCTCATGGTATTAATAATGGGAAACGCATCGAAATCCTTGAAAAATGCAAAAGAACAATATATTTTATTATACAGTTTTTAGAAGAGAAATTAGATCGATAGTCAGTCATAATAACTGTATCATAATTTGTTGATTGTTAGCGCCCTCTATAAAATATTTTCTTAGCCCCCCCCCCCTCTACAGAGGTGCACTTAGTAACTGTATTAACATGTATTTTCCTACTGTAGGCGTATGTCTATATTTGTGTTGTTAGGCGACCTTTTGCCAGTATCATTGAATTATTGTATTTAATTGACAAAGAGAACAACACTGTTCGTTTTCTAATTCTCAGTGGAATACTAACAGTGATTATAAACGTACAAAGCAATGTAAACATTGCTTCTTTTTTTTTCAATACTTATCTGTATAAAATGTCTATTTATAAGAGACGAACATGTGAATAATTTTTGGCTCATTACATAAAAATTACTTAGTACGCATTTGTTAGCTCTGAGAAACGTGTCATGAAGAACTCAATATAGGTCCTAGTCCTATAGTAGTTATATCTCCTTGGTAGCTTATTTTTCCATTGCACTTTTGCAAATAATACTGAGCTACATTCAATACACAATAGGAAACGCATAGAAATGTTTTAAAATACATTTTACTATACAATAATAAGTCAGATAATTTATAGATCGATAATGCCAGACATGAACTGTATTAATAATGTGATGATTGTTAGCGCCCTCTATAAAAACATATTGTCTTAGGTTGGCAATATAAATAATCTTAGTTAATGTGTTAATCTATTGTATGTCTATATTTGTGTTGCTAGGCGTATTTTTTCCAGTATGTGAATTGGTGGAACATGTGTAGCACGTGATGAAAAAGGAAATAGAATGTAGGCCTCTGTGAATAATTGTTTTTGCCCATAAAAAAATACTTAGTACACGCATTTACTAGCTCAGAGAACGTGTCATGAAAAACTCGATTTAGGCCTTGTCCTATACTAATTATATCTCTTTGGTAGCTTTTTTCTCCATTGTAGTCAACGCACTTGTGCAATAATACTGAGCTATATGAAATACACAATTAGTAAGGTGGGTATATTGCACAGACATTTGATTCAATGCTCATAGGCCTACAAGAAATAATGGGAAACGCTTAGAATTTTTTCGAAATATGCATTTAAGACCAATATAATTTACTATACAATATTAAGTCAGATAATTTGTTTTTAGAAGTAATCATATCGATAATGGCAGGCATGAATTGGTATTAAATATGCATTTAAGACCAATATAATTTACTATACAATATTAAGTCAGATAGTTGGTTTTTAGAAGAAATTAAATCAATAATGTCAGACATGAACTGTATTAATAATGTGATGAATGTTAGCGCCCTCTTTAAAAACATATTGTCTTACCCAAGAAGAAATAGAATGTGTAGGCCTCATGTCTACCGTGCGTGCAAATTGCCTTCACACCGTAGGAGGGTTCCATCTAAGAGTCTTGAAATGGGGGGGGGGGGACTGATGAGAGGCGAATGTGAAGGGGAATATAATTAAGTACTGGGGCGCTAGCTCGTAAAATAAAGTGTTATGAGGTGAATTGTAAATACTTTAAAATTAATAATTAAATAAATTAAATATCGAGTTGGGGTAGTTTAAACTTTTGTAGTGCGCTGTTTTGTCGATGCGCCATGAGCATCTTTCTAGATGGATACTCTGGTGCGCCCGCCGTATCCCTAGATACGCCACTGAAAAACCGAACCGCCCCTCTGTTGCATTAAATGATATTTAATTGATGGTGAAATTCATCATTTGCATGCGTAAAACCTCAGCTTCAATCCAAAGACTTTTCCCCGTTCTCTCCGGCCCGAGGCTTTCTTAGACCCCAGGAGACCTATCACCCCCGGGCCCTCTTAAGGAAATTTGTCGGGCCTGACTTATAATGTGTATAGCCTCCATGGAGGAACCCGGTTATCTATTTCGCTCCGTACAGGGCAGCTAAATTTGTACTTTTAAGACAACAGACTAAGGATCTTGAATTCAGTGGTGGCGCAGAGCGGGGAGGGGCTGGGGCTATAGCCGGCGGGGAAGCATAGCATAGCGCCCCCCCCACCGGTCTGGGAAGACGAGTAAATCTTGTTTAAACAATTATAATTAACAATTAAACAAATATAAAAAATATTTACATGTAATGTTCGTTTAGCCACCATATTGTATTCATTTAAACTATTTGTGTTAACTTTTCATCACAACAACAACAATAATAATAATGATAATAATGATAATAATAACAACAACAACAACAACAATAATAATAATAATAATAATAATAATAATAATAATAATAATAATAATAATAATAATAATAATAATAATAATAATAATAATGAGACTAATTAAAAATAATTTGCGTTCTGTTATGACAAATGCTCGTTTGGATAGCCTCATGATGAAATAAATCGTGATAGGTGAAGCAACCTCGACCATAACTGCGTGGTTGACAGGTTTCATGCAAAATCTCCAAAATGTAGAATTTCATATTTAAGAATGAGGGTTTGAAAATAAATTAGATGATTACATTGCATACTCTTTGTTTCTTGTTTTATTCAAAATGTTTTGGTTTTGGAAGCTGATTTCGACATTAGAAAACATAGCCTAGGCCTACATGGAGTCATATAGTAACACGATGCCTGTCAAATAGGCCTAAGTAATAAAAATTCGCCATAATTCGTCAAATAGCCGTTGCTTCCAGGGGGCTTCGCCCCCTGGACCTCAACCGGGGTCCTGGGCGACCCCCTGGCCCCCAGCCAAGTGAGACTCGATTCGCTCCACTAGTTTCCCCCCCCCCGGGGCCTTTAGCCCCTCCGTCGGGCAGGTCCTGGCGCCATCACTGCTTGAATTTGAATGCAGTTTCAAAGATTTCTTTTTCTCCCATACACCACAAAAAGTCGGTTTTTGTCAAATTCAATCACGTTAACAAAACTTTTGCTAACGTGATTGAATTGGGATATAGGTCAACAAAAAAGAAGGGGAAATGAGAGGGATGTCATACAAAATCCTAAAAACCAAGTCAGTGTATCCCAAGACATTGGACATATATAGAATTTTATTTTATTCCACTAACAGCGATATATCGCCACTTCAGGTTAGAATGACATACATTTATATCAATAATATATAATAGAAAAAAGAAGCAATCAAACTACCCACAACCAGACCAATGAAATTACGATTAGAATTATAAAGTAATTACACCTATATCAAACGTAATTACAATTACCGTAATTTTTAAAAAATAATTGTCGTTTAATAATAGGCCTATTTATGCATTCGCGTAAGCCTAGCTTACCTATATTATTAGTTTTAATGCCTCTATTATATAAATACAAGCATTTTTAAAGGATCTGTTCTTATTCAACGCAAAAATTGTCATGATAGGTCTACTAATAACAATAATAATACTAATAGAGGATTTACAAAAGTGTACCTATCTTTAAAAAAAATACTTCCATCGTCGTTCGCAATGGCGCGTGACGATGCATTATCAATTTAAGGTACATTTTGTAGGCTGTCTATGTCTATTGTCGCTAACACAGTAACAATAGTGACAGTTTTCATAGAAACAGAGTGTGTAGCTTCATGGTAGACTTGTTCAGTATATATCCAGTAGTTCATTGTACCTACGACCATTGGTGCTTAATGCGGTTCTAATAACAATGTGTACCTACAAACAATAGCTACTACAGTATTCCATTTCCAACAGGAGTTTACGTGCTGATGATTCTTCAGTAAGGTATTCATTATTTTGAGAATTTCAACAGAGCAGTTCAACAACTGCATTGCATCATAATTGTGTTACAAAATGGAACTCTTTTGTCAGAATAACCCGTAAACTAATGAGAGTAATGAGATTTTCGTTATACTGTTAGATCATCAGGAAGTAACAAGTGCGTTTGGAAACGGGTATGATCAGTCATCTTGGACATATTTAAAACTAGGCCTATAATGTCGTATCGTCAACAGGTAAGTGTAGGCCTATACCGTCAGTTAAAAAATGCTATAATATCTATGATCAATGTTATTAGAATTTCGATTCAAGATGTCCATCTTCATGTATAATTAGACCTAATCGTCTGTAGTCCTTTAATGTCAGGATACCTGAATAAGTATTATAGGTCCCGGGCCACAGTTAGCATTTTCGTAATTAAAATAGACCTCAATAATTTTTCGTCCAATGAAATTCGGTTGGTAGACCTAGTTTTCAGACGCACTACAGATTGAGTATAATATGTATTGAACGGTAATAGATATACCGTAAAACTAGGTTTTTAAAGCTTCACACGCCGTGGATGTTGGAGGGACATGTTGGTCTATTTTTCTGTGAGTTTCATGTTCACTGCTAATGGCCTAGAGTTAGGGGTAATTACTGTAAGATCCATAATTGACCTACGTTTTCATAGGGGTCTATTTGTAACGAGACCTATGCCTTTGTTTGTTTCCATGTAGTATAATTATGTTCTGAGACGTATCTGTTTTCTCCATTTTCACATTAATCATAGGCCTATGTCTACATTGATGGTTACCCTAACGGGTGTTAAAAGGCATGTGACCCGTTTGTCAAATTGTTTGTTTTGTTTCCCTATCTGTCAACGGTGATAAAGTCATGTTCTGAGGAAAATATCTGTCTTTATGTCCATACTAAAGCATCATCATCTAATGATTTATACAAAGCATCATCATTTAAGGATTTATATCTTTATAATGTTCCGAGAAAAAAGTGTGTAAATGATAAATCTAGTGTCAAACCTTAGCGGAGATCTTCTGACAGAGGGTACAAGCCGCACAATTGTGTACGAGTTACGGTTGCGTGAATCAATCCATTCTGTTCATTCAAACAGCTAGCATAAACCTTCCGCCCCTTGGAGTATGAAAAGCCCGATCAATGTCGTACTTGTCATCCATGGCTGTGACAAGGCTTGATCGATAGAACCACGGCTAAATATAGACTATTTTTTATTGAAGGTAGCTTACTCACATGTTCGCATCAGCTGAGCGTACTTAGGCCTACGTTTGGTCAGCATGAACAAGATACGCTTCCCCCGGTCCTTCACGTGTCGCTAAGGATGTTTCTTTCACAGAACATACGGTAGATGTTACTTTCATTAATATCTCATTTTGCCCTAATCACACACCCTTATACCTGTCTCTTATACACATCTAGATGTGTATAAGAGACAGTATATGGTAAATCGGTAGTGCACAAGTTTAAAATAGGACCCTTTTTTAACTAAGACAAAACTTCTGGTAGGCAGCCAAAATGTCTTAAGTCATTCATTACCGTACATGAAGAGGAGGTGTACCGTATCTTTCTTTGACAAGTTTATTGTGTTACACGGTCAGTTACCTAACTTCGGGCTGAAGCATTCTGAAGTTTACAGTAAGCATTCTTCGATTTGCGCCATGGCAAACAGGGATAAGTAGCGGAAGTTTGGCGCAGCGGTTGAGGTTTGGGCTTTCAATCGTAAGGTCGGGGTTTCGAGTCTCCGCTATGCAGATTCGCTTGTGTCCTAGGGCAAGGCACTTTAGCTACATTGCATCAGTGCACTCAGCTGTATCACTAGGTACCAGCAAGCTGCTGGGGACTAACCTGCGATGGACTAGTGTCCCGTCCAGGGGGAGTACAACTCTCATCCGCTTCGCACTACAGAAACTGGGGATAGACTCCAGCCATATGAGCCCCAGTGGCTCGGAAAGGATCTAGTTTTTTTTAAAATCAGGGATAAAAGCAGTTTTAGAAGTGTTCGACTCAATCAATTGACGAACCAGCTGAGCTAAACTTTAAAAGAAAATTCGAGTTATCTTCATGACGAATCGGTTTATCTTTATTAGGCACTTTATACCAAGTGCTTTATTTGATATCGTTGGGTCTAGGCCATGATATTAGTATTATAATCTATTTCGAATTCTATTAATTTGTTTTCTATTCAATGTTTCTATGGTTTTTTTTTTTCTTACAAACGTGTAAACGATGTTAAATGTGAAAGTGACACAAACTGACATCAACCCACGTCCTCGACATTATTCAACCATACATAGTTGATTGTAGGCCTCCATTGTTCAAGAATTTACTTAAAGGAACAATGAATACCTCGGTCCGCCCTGTATTTAATTGTCGGTGATGTCTCATCTCCTCTTGCTGTTTGCTCTTTAAAAAAATGATGTTTGTTTTGCAAGACGGGTCTTTCACAATAAACTTTACATTTATTTAATGGTACAACAGGTCTAATATGACAGAGGTGTTCCTTAGAATCGACGCTCTCTCTCTCTGTCAATTACACTTGGCTTCCATAATAGGCATTGTACGTATATAGTTTAGTTCATCCATTGTGTCGTCGAACCGTTAGAAGGATGCACAACATAATTAAGGCAGATGTTCCATAGACGTCAACTAGGTTCCAATTATCCTTTACCAGGCGGCAACAACTATATTTAGGTCCTACAATCGAGTATAGACCGTATTTTGATTAGCCAGCAGGTTTACTCTCACATTCCTGTGTAAAAATTAGGGCCTAGTCCTACTTGGTTTCGGTAAGTTTCCATTTCATTAATAAATATTTAGTTTTAATGCCTATATCTGTCTCCTGTCGCATGTCGTCTCCGTTTAGGCTTACCTGGGTATATCGCCGTGTACGTTTCCGTGTCATGGGCGTCGATCGGTGGGGCAAGGGGGACACGTCCCTCACTTTTCAAAGTAGGGGAGACATCACATCAATTGTCCCCCTCACTTGTCAGTGGAAAGAAGAACAATTACGAATGACTGTCATGATTTTTTGTCTGTTCACTTGTGCTCTGTTCCAAGTGCGTTGCATATTTCTGGACCTAGACGGTAGTACTTCCACTCACAATAGTTTAGTCGCAAGACAAATGTGAAACACAAAAAGAGGAGAAAAGGAAAAACCTCTTGATTGATTTTAAAAGTACTGTATATAAATTAGAATCACTGTTATCTTATATGTTTTTTATGGTTCGAATACTGTACGTCACGAGCTTATCAGTATATAATACATCATTATTTTATGAATGTTATTTTGCACAAAGTATATAAGCGGGCACGATTATGATTACCGGGATAAATTTAAAAACTTTTTTATGAAGAGTATTTCAGTGGCAAATTCAAGGGGCCCATATGGCCACCCTCCCTAAATTTTTCAGAATTTATAAAGTGGAGAAAAAAGAAAATTACAGTATATAAAAAATTGAGTCTGAGTGTGTCATTTTCGGCCAATAGAGGTGCCATATTTATAAATGTTCTTACCTCAGCCCCAAACATGGTGGGGCTGAGGTGGTCTACACTCCTGGTCTGTAAAAGTCCCTCCTGCCCCCCCCCCCACCTTCTATCTCAAATTCCTGGTCCGCCACTGTAATGTAGTGTGGAAATAAATGTTAATTTCATTCCTTAACATCAATTAGATACGAATTATAAAAGGCATAGACACCAGAGCCTCCAGGGGCCTCGCCCACCGGGGGCCCTGGATCCCCCTGACCTACGGCCCAAGACATCCTTATTTTGCAATTCGTCCCCCACCCCACTTTCAACCATGGATTGCCACCCTTGCTCCGTGTGTTACTTTCTTTTGTATACCTACCGTAAATGCTCGAATAAGCGCGCACAAAACGTGATTTTTCCCCGTTAAGCACCGCTTTCGAATAAGCGCCGCTTATACCCTGTGTGTATAATAATAATGAAATACTTGAGAAACAGCGTTTTAAATACAATATACAGTGTTAAAATGAATAAATAACACAATAAAGACACACGCATTTCTTTATAAACATTTCGGCCCCTATTTACGATGATAGGACCTATGATAGGCCTACCGAAATACGGAAATACGTGAAATAGGTAACATGGGAACGGCTATCGAAAGCGCCGCTCTCGAATAAGCGCTGCACTGAAAACCTCCATTTGTAGCGCCCCGTGGCGCTTATTTACGGTAATCAATACTTCTTAAACTCATGGTCACTTACTACATATTAAATTCATTTTCGTATTTCTAATTGCAGACTTACAATAATGCTCATTATAACATGAATCGATATCCCGATAGGACGACGGGTTCAGGAGATTTCGGTATTCCATATGTAGCCAACGGTCCAGAAGTATTTGCAAGAAATTCCACCACTAGTTTACATCAAAACGACTACAGAATATCACATAGGGGTCACTCTCATCGTCTACATCCGACTATACCAGAGTTGCCTTACCAATCTTCTCCGACACCATCCCCGCCAACCTCGCAACTGAACTTCCGTCCAAAAAAGATAGCGTCTCGTCCCACCAAACGGCCTCCTGCACCACCGACGTCATCACTGCACATATCCGTACCACAACAAAATCCACCTCCACCGCCACCACGGCCTCCTGCACCACCGACGTCATCACTGCACATATCCGTACCACAACAAAATCCACCGCCACCGCCACCTCCTCCTCCTCCACCACCTCCACCACCACCACCACCACCACCACCCCCACCGCCGCCTCCGCAATTACCAACTAGTGAAGCCCAACAACAAAGCATGGAAAGCCTTATAGACGCTGCTGGCCCGCCTGATTACGATTCTGAACGTTTCGACTCAGATGAGACAGACGATAGCTTCGAAAGTTCAAGCAGTCAGGAGAGTGAGGAAATAGAAGTCCAAACTCAGACGCAAGATTTAGATAACGAACATAATGCCGATGATGACGACAGTGGAGATGATGGTGGTGGGGTCGGTGATGGGGATGGAAATCAAGCAGATATTGTTGATGCTCACAAGAAGAAACAAGATAATGAAGGAGGCCAGACCGTCGTTACTCATGAACCTTCCCCTGGTGCGGATGAAGCTGATAGACCACCAGTACGGCACGTCCGCATTGACGAGCACCATGACGACTGGCAGAGACGGAGCCATCGAAGTCATGTGGAGTGGGATGAAGTAGAAGCTCCCTGGGCAAGACTATCACCGAGGCAACTTTCCGGCAGAAGGTTTCAAGACGAAAGGCGACCTCGCTACTCTCCTCCAAGAAAAGAACTAAAGAAAAATAACAATAAGCCTACAGGTCGGAGGCATGAATACAACATACGGCATGATCTAAACGAAAACTTCATTGATCACAGGTTACCAATTATAAACCCACTTGCCATGGAAGTACGTCAACAGGATATGAATCACAAGAGACCAAAACCAAGAGTTTATCACATTGACCCCATGTACAGAGAAGAGCCCTTTCCTTACGCTTACGACCACCGACAAACAAATCTTCCTCTTAGGCCATCGAATGATAGAATGTACAAAGAAAATCTGCACGTCGACACACGGAATGGCTCGAGGGGCGCATTTCGCCCCGACCCTAAAAAGGATGAGGAGCAGACGAAACTTTTGCGATGTACGGGCTGTTGCGTTATCGTACTGTTGGCATTTGCCTTCCTGGTTCTTGTTGCCCTTTCTGCGGTTCTAACGTACTACTTCGTCGGTAAGTATTAATCAGTATATTTGCACTTTAATCGTAAGAGAACATTCCATTTCGATGTCACTCGAAATTAAGGTTATTGAATGTGTGGTGAGAGTCATCATCATCATCATATTATTATTATTATTATTATTATTATTATTATTATTATTATTATTATTATTATTATTATTATTATTATTATTATTATTATTATTATTATTATTTTTATTATTATTATTATTATTATTATTATAACTCTTATTATTACACTTATATACTTTGCTGTATGAAATACTCGATTAAACGAAGATATCTGAGCTCATATAACTCTTGATCAATAATTCATCTGTTGGTTTCTCTTTTCAGTTTTGGATGAAAACACAACGAAACGTAAGTACTCCTTAGTCATCGACAATTGTTGAGTGCTATACATTAAACACAATGAACCATGGAACCAACTATTATAGGGGCCTATATAAACAGATTATGATTACTATTCCTAAGCATGACGCAAACTCATTCGCGGCTTTGTGATTTGACATGCATCACAATGATCATAAACAGGTTCATACTTAATGGAAGCTTAGAATATACAAACAAATAGATAGGTGCTCGAATAGGAACTTGATGTTATAATTGCATACGAAAAGTTTCTTTTTCAGTTTTATGAAAAAGTGTCTTCCGGGATTTGTACCTGCAACCTATCGATATCAAGGCGAGTGTACATTATCCTGTTCTGACAAACAATCGCATTGAGCTGGTCACGCACCCCGGTTTTATGCCAGTTTATTTTTTAATGCAGGTCTGTTAGGGGATGTCTCGTCTATGTAGATATGTTGATATGTGTAATATGTTTGTTTAATGTAGGCATGTGCAATTAGTAGGCTACAAACATCCTGGTAAAAACATAATTCGACAAAATACGTGTTTAATGTTTACGTACCATAAATGACTAGACTTGTTGATGTAAAATATTATATATTCCATACACTGTCCTACAACTGCATGACAATACAAACATATCTATTGTTATTGTACATAAATAGAAAGTGTAAACTCTACAGACTTGTTATATAAAATTGAATAGGGCTTTCAATCGTTGCAGGATTTTAGATTAGCCAAAATAAACCCCAGTTTCTGTGGTATGAGTTATTGTGTTTTGTAACACACCTCATAGTAGATCATTATCAATTTATGGATATACTATCACTTGATATTGGGTATATACATCATGTAATTCAAAAATAATCAATCTTATACTTGCTTCACTCTTGTAAATTTCGTTCCATTTCCATCAACTTTGTTGAGGGATGGCGCCATACGGGGATGTGTGAGGTCTCACAGACGGGGTGGGGGTGGGGGGTGTCTGCCTTCATTAGTACGTAACAGTCGAGATTGTGCCTTACAGATTCCTTGCCGTTTAATCTCTATTGGATTAGTGCTATTCTAAGGTTATAGAGCATTTTAATTTAATCACACTCCTTATACGATCGAGGGTTTCAGTCGCTTTGAACTAGTACAACAATAACTTCCGTGTGGAGTAGTGTTTATGACATGATTTTTGAACATGCATACGAAAGGTTCTTATTTTAAGATTCATTAATATTTATTCATTGCTCTGTTTGGCTTGTGATAATGATGATACTAATGATGAAGATGATTTTGATAATAATAGTAACGATGATGATGATGATAGTGAAGATGATGGTGGTGATGATGATAAGGATAATAACCATGAAATGTTCATATACTGTATTATTTCATAAATGTGTTTTTTATCTCCATCAGATCCATGTAGCAGTCTACCTGATATTGAGAACGGCGCTTATACAGGCAACACAGATCCTACAAATACGTTTGATGAACGGCATGCATTCACTTGCAACAGTGGCTATACTCCCGATCCTGACAGTTTGATGATAACGTGTGAAAGTGATTTAACGTGGGATCACGCACCTCTGTGTTTAGGTATGCTAAATTAAAGAAAAGATTATTTTATATAATTCTTTCTCGAGATGAGGCGTATTACCATTTTAGTGAGAGAAGTATTACAGATAGTTAAAACCAATGATTAAAACTGTGTTTACGCTAAACCAAGAGTATACCGGTATTTGTTCCTGGTTCTGATTAATCAATCTCCAGGCGTGGCGTCAGTGGGGTGGGGCTCGAAACCACGCCCTGTTTATTTCCCAGTTCAATCAGATTTAAATGCAAGACATCACTGGAGCTAAGTAAATTTAATGAAAAGTGCAAAACATTTATAATTACCTGTAATAAAAATTGAATTTCTGATAATTACCATATTAATAACATTGCTTTGGAGAGGGTCTTTGAACACAAGCATCTTGGACTAATGAGAGTTTCAGATCAAAAATGGTCTCAACATGTTCAAATTATTACCTCCAAAGCCACCCGTTGTCAGGGTATGATAAAACGCTTCGTACGTAGAACTGAAGCTTCTCTATTTGATTTCTTTTTAAGGCAGACCTATCCTAGAATCTGTTCAAGCATGGAACCCAGACTTAATAAAAGATATTGCGTGTGTGGACCGTGTCCCCACCCTATATTGATATTCAATCATCATCATCATCATCAAGATCGGAACCAAATTAACATCAATATCGTCATCGTCGTCATCTTCGACGTCATCATTTTCATTATCATAATCGCTATCATCGTCGTCATCATGCTCTTCATAATCATCATCTTCATCAAGATCGAATCATAGTAATTAGGCCTATATTAACATCATCATTATCATCATCATCATCAGTATCCTCGTAATCATCATTTTCATGATCATTATAATTATCATTACCATTATAATAGTCATCATCATCGATCTTCATCGTCTACCGCGTAATCGTCGTCTTCCTCATCAATATCATCATCGGCATTATCATCATCATTATTATCATTGTTATCATCGTCGTCTTCATCGTCACCACCGACTAAGCCATTCTGCATTTAAATTACTGCCACCAAACACTGATTTAGTTTACTTTTTGGCTCCTGTCCGGCCAATTGAGTGGCTTTTTTCCTCTCTCAGTTTCTTTTGTGTTTGTCAGTTTTATTGTTCTTTGGACCAAATAAAATGAAATGGAAAAATTCTTCGTCATTTTATAACACTCATCAAATTTGTTCCTTGTTTCTAGTGCCGAGTGACGGATTAACGAATGAAGAAGTGGGTCTTCTTGCAGGTATGCAACTGTGTTCCTTCTTCTTTTTCTGCTATGCTCATAAAAATTTTAATCCTAGATTCTTTGAATTCTTGGTGTATAACATTGATTTATAATTATCGTTAATTTCATTTTCATTCAGGCGCAATCGGAGCCGGAGTCATTGCACTAATATTTTTGATCTTTATAATCTGCATTGCCTGTTCGAATATTTTTAATTCCCGTAATAAGCAATACGTTATTTAACTATGTACTTTTCGGTGAGTTACATTTCTTATAATATTAAGCATATGAGTAGGCCTAGTCGTTGTTCAATGTTCTTATAAAGAACTAATGGATAACGCCGGAGTAAAATTGATAGATATATTTTCAGTGGCGTATCTAAGATTTTTTTTGTTGGGGTGGGGAGGGGATTGGGCTTGGCGCGAGTGGCAATGGAGAACCTACGGTTAAAATGTGGGTTGCAGTACCGTATATAATGGAACTTATGGTCCAAGGGAAATTGTGGGGTTTTTCACTTACTTATTAAGGGAAGCTGCGGAGTTGTGTTTTTGGCAGATGCCGGGGGTTGGGGAAGCACCTCAGGATTAGCCACTGAAACAGGATTGTAGCTTTCAAAGCTATATGGTTTTCTGTTTCATATGTATAAAGCATTGACTGGATGTTTTCTCACAGCTACCAGTGTAAATGGTGATTAATTCGCTGTGTGAATGTAGCAAAATTTCATACAAATGCATTAGATTATACGTGAGAAGTTTAAAGCCATTTCATTGTGAAAAGTGCATTTGTTATTTTTTTGTTCGAAATAAGCACAAACATGAAAAAAGATAGCGAGCAATTTCTTTTTTTTTTTACATTTTCAGAAATAGAACAACTCTAAATAAAACCGCATCTCTGAGAAATCAACTACATTATGTGTTTGAGGTAATCAGGTGTTCTAATAAAAGGCGAGAGAAGTGCTACAGTATTTTCGATTATGAAAAACAAGCTTCGGAAAAACTGTCCGAGGTTGCCCGTGGGTTTTTCGACGGAGGAAGTGATAGAAAAGAAACCTCACGCAATAATGTCGTAGCATTTTCAAGGTAGGAAAGCACTGACGAGAAAGTTTCAGACCTAGGGCCTAGGCTTATGCAAGCATGATCAAAGCTGTCTCTTATACACATCTAGATGTGTATAAGAGACAGGTCTAGGATTATCATTTTGTGTTGACGAACACTCACAATCGTCTTCCAGAGTATCGCTAGTTCACAATAAAGCAGGTTTTTTTTATAATTGTATATAGAATTGACGCTTACATAATGTATTTAGATTTTTAGAACAAAATTATTGAAGACGAATAATAATCACTTTCTTAAAAGATTGTTTTATAATCCTTTATGCCAAACCTATTGTTGACCCCATTATACAAATTTTTATATAGATATATATATATAGGCCTATTTGGATTTTTGTACATTTGGTCATTGTTTTATATGTATTGATAATCAATAGTATTATTGTATAGTCACATATATTTATTTTTTTATAATACGTCAGATTATTTTCTATAAGTCAAAAAGCAGGAATTCGCAGCTACCTTACTTTCCTCTACCAATCATTGTCGTTATTTTGATTTCTTCTTCATTCCTTTTTCCGTATGATATCCATATCTGCCAGGTCTGGTATACGATTGTGTATACATTGTGACATATTTGTCAATTTAAAAAAAGATGGGTATAATTTTCTCTTAAAAAAGCAGGGGGGAAACATCTTTACTTTTGGCCTTATTGTACTTTTATCTATAGCGTAAAATAAGAATAAAATTTACGGTATACTTTAAATTAATTTCATCAACTTAATTGACAAATTGTTTTTATCATGTGGTTAAAATTGTATGTTAATTTTATAAAGAAGCATTTTACAAAGCTTTATTTTGGTTATGGATTATTCGATAGTCATTTCGTTCTTTCATAAGTTGATAAAGTGTAGTGTGTGTCTAAGCATCAAAATGACCAATACCGTAAATGCTCGAATAAGGGAATTTTTGGATGCTTCAGTGCGTCGTTTATTCGAGAGAAGCGCTTTTAAAAAATATTGGCGTGTGCGCTTCCCATGACCGTTCCCATGTTACCTATCTCACGTTCCCGTAGTTCGGTGGCCTTTCATAGGTCCTAAACGTTAATAATGCTTGTGTCTTCATTGTGTATTCATTTTAACACTGTATACATTGTATTTAAAACCCTGTTTCTCAAAATGTTTCATTACGCATGGGTTATATCCCTCGATTAAGCGCCGCGGCGCTTAGCAGAAAAAAAAAGAAAAAAAAAAAGTTTGGTGTGGCGCTTATTCATCTTGCGAGCATTTGCGGTACAGCTGGTTTGACGTTAAGTTGTCCCAGACAGTGACTTTTCTATGTAAATACTAGACAACGATTCTGTCCATGGTTATTCCAAACACCCAGTAGTTACTGCAATCTGTTTTTATTATTTAACATAACTTCGAATTCAGAATAGCACTAATCCTCACATCAGAGATATCCACCCATGACAAATTGGTTCTCTGGTTGTTGAATCTTCAGACTGAGATCTATACAAATTGGATCTCTAGAAATGATGATCTCGATCAAGATAAACAACATCGGTAAGAAAAACCTATACTGTAAAGAAGTAGAGTGAGAATTGTATAACAATAGTCCTCCATAATATAATTGACTGAGCACGTATAGCGAGACGCCGACAGACACCAACAAATGAGTCAGGCAAGAATGGATCGAAACTTACCGTAAGTTTTGGAGGTAGAATAATGATAGTGAGTGAATAAAACGCGTAGACAAAAAGTGAATACGAAAGGGACGTCTCTATGAATAATTGTATAAATTTGGGATATGCAATTGGAATGTTATCATGGTAAACTTAAAAATTTGCAGTTGAGTGACCCACAAAAGCTTCAATTACCTATTGGTTTATTTGATGCTGCAACCAACCGAGTTCTCTCTGTGCTACTTTAGCTTCGAACTGCACCTCTCGCTAAATTATACAATATTTCCGCTTATCAACCAATACAAGGGTATGCAAACTGACTATACAGAAGTAGATGTGACAAATTCATTCAAATTTTAAAAAATTATATTACAGTACGTACATATTCATTTATATTGTTCTGGACGGTGGCGGCACCCGGGGAGGAAAGGAGGTAAAATGGGGGTGGGGCAATATGAATGACACGACTTCTCAGGGTTTAGTGTATATTTTTGAATTCTTTTGATGCTTTATTGTTTTCTGTATTTGTCATGTTTTTTTGTGTATTTTTTAGACCCCTATATGACTTTTAATTGCTGAAATGAAGATTTGATGAATAGACACTATGTTTTCCCGATACAATTTAAGATAATAAGGGAAAATTAACACATTGCTGGTATATGCCGTCAACTTCATTAAAGCGATTGATATAGTTGGGGTGGGGGGGGGAGATGGGCGTCGATCGGTGGGGACAGGCCCCTACTGTTCAAAGCGAGTTGAAAGAACACACAATTTCGAATGACTGTCATGAATTTGACTGTTCACAATTGATGCTCTGTTCCAAGTGCGGTGCGTATTTCTGGACCAAAACCGAGTAAAAACGCAACTGTTTGACAATTTTTTTTTTTTTTCATTTCATTTAATTTCTTTAGGCACGAGCGCCAGATATGCCCAATAAGTGAACTTAATCGTCCTACGTGGCATATCCACAGGGGACTTAATGGACAATACACCGGGGTAACCCCCCCACTCTTCTCGAAGGATGAACTGGGTTCTTTAAAGTGCACACGAGCCAAATGCGTACACTGGGCCTACGGTTTAAGTCCTTTATCCGAGAAGACTCCACCACCGGAACCATTGGCGAGTGAGCCGTTCGAACCATCGCCGATATTAGAGCTGGTTGCGCTGCCCCTGACTTACCGCTCAATCAACTTGCCAACATTTCGTAACCATCAACCACTCCATAGATTTTATGGGTGCAAAATACCAGTAAAATACTGTACTAAACTGCTTTTTGTAGGCCTACTGTAAAATAGAAGGGGGACCGGGAAGGTATAATTCACTAATGAAGGATGTAGCCTAGTAGGCCTACCACCCCAGCCCCACCACGGTTGGGGCTGAGGTAAAAAAAATTGTGATTATGGCACTAATTTTATTTGTATATATTTTTATTTATTTTGGGGGTGGGGGAGGCCCGGGCGAGGTCCCCCCCCCCAACCATTGAATCCGCCACTGTACTGTTTATTGAATTTTTATATCTTTGTTTTGCTCTTGTATTTTAATTTAGTTTTCTTTTTAATTATCTTGATTTTGTATGTTTCCTTTGTGAATGCACCATCATTCTGATGTGTGCCGCTGATCTAAAAGCGTATGTTCAATATATAGTTCAGAGAGAGACCAACATACAAACTCAAATTCACATACAAAGAGACTAAATTAGAGCATGGAGTGTTTGTTTTTCATGGTTCGAATACGCCACAAGCTAATCAGTAGATAATAAATAATTATTTTTATGAATGTAATTTGCACGAAATATATCAGCGGGCATGATTATGACTACCAGGAAATTTGAAAAACTTTTTATAATGAGTATTTCAGAAAAAATTTCCCGAGCACCGCCACTGGTTTTGGACGCAACTTTTATCACTTTTATTGAAATTGAGTAGTGTGCGCTCATAGCTAGTTTCTTTGGCGTAAGTAATTAGGCTATTATTGTAATTTGTAATGGCTAATAAAAGGCGAGAGAAGTGCTACAGTATTTTCGATTATGAAAAACAAGCTTCGGAAAAACTGTCCGAGGTTGCCCGTGGGTTTTTCGACGGAGGAAGTGATAGAAAAGAAACCTCACGCAATAATGTCGTAGCATTTTCAAGGTAGGAAAGCACTGACGAGAAAGTTTCAGACCTAGGGCCTAGGCTTATGCAAGCATGATCAAAGTGGGATAGTTACCAGCAGTGGTGTACTACTACTACCCGAGCTCCAGGAGCCTCCGATCTAGGCCTATACCATCCCTGCCTGTACAAAAAATCTAATAAAGCAGTGTTTTATTGTGACATTGAACTACTGTATCTGCTACCCTCCAGCGAGTGGCGGGGGGCCATAGTGGCTTTCAGCATGGGTGAAATTTTTGGCTCTTAAATAACTAAAATCACGTCCGTCATACATAAGAATACATGCAAGGGATAATCAGGGCCAGGCCGTCAGAACCGCACGGGTAGGCCAGACCACTTTTTCTCAAATAATATAACATTTTTAAATAAATATATACGGATACCTATAAAATAATTATATATGAATTTATTATTTATGTTTGCATCACATTATGCTACTACTACCTTCTGTGTCCAGATAACATTTTTAAGCTGTGTGTTTTATGGGCCCACTTTTTAGCATTATGTACAATACAGGGCATTTTTGTGAGTATCTAGGCCTTATGTTTGTGAGTTATACAGGGGAAATAGGATACCATAAAAGTCAAACTCCTTTAAAAAAAATTCTCCCTGTTTGAGGGTCCCTCATGAACATTACACACACACCCCTGCTCAAAGTGACCAAGTCAGCTATGGTGAACATAACAAAGGTATGCTCTGATTGAAGTTTTTAGGACTGTACAGGCACTATCACTCCCATATATATAACATCTTTATTTAAGCGAAGTTACAAGGCTGATAGTTAATATGTAGAGAGAGCTCGCAAAGAAAAAATATAATTTTTAAAACTTTTTTTTCTCGCTTCTAAATAAGCCGAGAAAAGATTAGATAACAATAAATAAACAAAAAAGAAAAACCCAAAAACAGTTCAAAAAATTAACGTATTTCATCATCAAGTTTTAGTTATAATTTTGTAATGGTTTTTGTGCGATTTAAAGGAATTATGTGAAGTCTGGAATGAAAAAAAAAAATTTTATTTGGTAACTTTTTATTTAATTTAACATTATGTACAGGGCATTTTTTTAAAAGGACCATTTTAAAAGGTGTTTGGCTTCCATAGTTATCAGATAAGTATTTTGCATGATCACGGTCATACGTAGTCTAATGATGTCAGGTGTGATCCATTTTCTTTATTTAGTTTAAGTATATAAAAGTAATATAACAGATAATTGTTGACATTGTTCAATGGTCAATCTGATAAATAAAAAACACCAATTCAATAAATATCGAATGTGCTTTTTCTTTTGGTCGTACTGTAAGAAGAGAAATGCCTATTATTATTATGGTCATCCCAGCCCTCTGAGAACATCTAAAAATTAAAAACTAAAAAAATCGAAAGATTTATTGTCAAAATAGTATAAAAAATCAGGACCCCAGCTATTAACCTTTAAATTCCCAATTTTGCCAAGGTCACTGAGGCCCATTAAGCCCCATTGTCATCATCCGCTAAAATAAGTGTAAGTGCATCACTGACATTGAATGATTGCTACCGATTTGGCCATTTCCTAGGCTTACACAACCAGTTGGCAGCAACTTGTGACCAGCAGTAGTGGTTCAGATAAATAGGTTATTTTAAAATTCATATAATATTGATATCATATATTTCTAAAAAACTTAACTTTTTTAAGTTCTTCAAAATTCAATATTTTTCTCCCTCTTGAAAATGGTCAAGTAAACTTTCTCTTTCTTATTACAGTAAATAGGCCTGTTATGCATACGTATTCTTTTTTCCATGAATCGATAGAACTCAAAGAGAAAGGTGGTCAAGGGTTCTTTTGGTAACTTTTTATTTAATTTAACATTATGTACAGGGCATTTTTTTAAAAGGACCATTTTAAAAGGTGTTTGGCTTCCATAGTTATCAGATAAGTATTTTGCATGATCACGGTCATACGTAGTCTAATGATGTCAGGTGTGATCAATTTTCTTTATTTAGTTTAAGTATATAAAAGTAATATAACAGATAATTGTTGACATTGTTCAATGGTCAATCTGATAAATAAAAAACACCAATTCAATAAATATCGAATGTGCTTTTTCTTTTGGTCATAAAAAGGGAAATGCTTATTATTATTATGGTCATCCCAGCCCTCTGAGAACATCTAAAAATTAAAAACTAAAAAAATCGAAAGATTTATTGTCAAAATAGTATAAAAAATCAGGACCCCAGCTATTAACCTTTAAATTCCCAATTTTGCCAAGGTCACTGAGGCCCATTAAGCCCCACTGTCATCATCTGCTAAAATAAGGGTAAGTGCATCACTGACGTTGAATGATTGCTACCGATTTGGCCATTTCCTAGGCTTACACAACCATTTGGCAGCAACTTGTGACCAGCAGTAGTGGTTCAGATAAATAGGTTATTTTAAAATTCATATAATATTGATATCATATATTTCTAAAAAACTTAACTTTTTTAAGTTCTTCAAAATTCAATGTTTTTCTCCCTCTTGAAAATGGTCAAGTAAACTTTCTCTTTCTTATTACAGTAAATAGGCCTGTTATGCATACGTATTCTTTTTTCCATGAATCGATAGAACTCAAAGAGAAAGGTGGTCGAGGGTTCTCCCACGGAAAAAAAAAAGTTTTTACCGGGCTGACCAAGCCGTCGTACCGGGCTGGGTAATAAGAGAAAAGAAAGAGGGGAGAGGGAGAGGGAGGGAAAGAGAAAGAAGAGGAAAAGAAAAAGAAATGAAAAGAAAAAGAGAAGAGAAAAATAAATACAAGAATAAAAAGGAAGATATCATAGTGACCAGACTCACAACACCCTGCAACCCCATCTCCAATTCAAAAGCTGTTATAACTCCTTGATATGGTGCCCGATGCCCGATGGGAAAATAATTCTCTTTGGAAAATCTTTCCCACCCCTTTATATTCCCTGAATGTGCTTAAAAATCTCAAATTTCGTGTGCATTTCTTGTTAGAATTGTCCAATTTCCTCTAAAAATTGCACATTTTAGGGAGTTTTGATTAATTCCGATGAAATTAGAAAAACACCGTTGACAAGGGGAAATATCCATCTTTGGAAAATCTTTCCCCACCCCTTGATAAATGCATCCTCTAAAAATGCCTAAAATTCTCAAATTCTTCGCGCGCATTTCTTGTTACGGAAGGCCAATTTCCTCTATAAATTGCACATTTTAGGGAGTTTTCATCAATTCCAACGAAATTAGAATTAAAAACACGAAAATGTTTTAGGTTTATCCTTTTAAGTTATTTAAACACATAATAGTCTCAAACTCAAGAAAGAAAAATTTAAGATAGATCGTTTCAACCTAGAAGAAGGGCCTCAATGTGTATTGATGGTGAAAAAATATGTTTGTAATAAATAAAACCATGATGAAAATGCTTATATTTAGTTTCAAACACACATGTGTGTGGCCTATATTATAAATAAGATAAGCCCGATGTCGTATTGTTTTCTATATGGGGAGTGGGGTGTGCGGTGGGTATGATAAATTACTAACCAGGAAAATAAATACCCCCTGACTCAAGACCCCTGTTACGCGCCTGGTATTAGCGCCAATGTGTGCCCTTGTGCAGACACTGGATGTGCCCCCCTCTAAAGCTGGAAACCTTGTTTTTGCAAAATAAATTGATGCAATTTGCTATTTTAGGCCTAATCAATAAATTCCTCATCAATCGATATAACCTTGAACATTCTTGGAATTGACATAAGATTACTGATGTCGTACACACCCTTCAGTGTGAAAATGTGGCTTGCTTTGCAAGCACATCTAACATCTAAGGAAAGAAGAGTTTAGTTAGATTGGTACCAGATAAAATAATTTTGTTATCAACATTAATACATTATGCTAATTTTCATCTTTGTAAGCGCATAAGACATTGTAAATTATTTCTGGGACAGTCTTTTGAACTGTGTAAAGCTCCATTTTATCCCATACATAGTCAAAATATAGGGGGGGGGGGCGATGATACAATGGACACCCCCCCCCCCCCTCCGGGATCTATGCCTATGGAATCAATGAACCCAAAGAGAAAGGGGGATTGAGTTCTCTCCGGGAAAATTTGGAATTTCTAAATGGCTTTTCTGACTTCTGTGGTGTCTTTTAATGACTTTAAAGTTCTTCAAAATTCATGGTTTTCCCACTTGAAAATAATCTGGTAATTTTTTCTCATTCTTATTACAGTAAATAGGCCTCTTCTAACTTTCTTATTGTAACAAAAAAATAAATAAAAAATTCACCTCATGGGCCCTGAAAAAGTAGGTCTAGAATTCTTTTTTTTTTCTTTTTTCTTTTTTTTTACACCAAGGGAGGGGCCCTGACCCCCCCCCATATCTGCCAATGTGAATTGCGAGAAAATTGAACTTGGAATTTCTAAATGGCTTTTCTGACTTCTGTGGTGTCTTTTAATGACTTTAAAGTTCTTCAAAATTCATGGTTTTCCCACTTGAAAATAATCTGGTAATTTTTTCTCATTCTTATTACAGTAAATAGGCCTCTTCTAACTTTCTTATTGTAACAAAAAAATAAATAAAAAATTCACCTCATGGGCCCTGAAAAAGTAGGTCTAGAATTCTTTTTTTTTTCTTTTTTCTTTTTTTTACCCCAAGGGAGGGGCCCTGACCCCCCCCATATCTGCCAATGTGAATTGCGAGAAAATTGAACTTGGTCAGGGACTAGATAAGCACTCTCTTACCCCTCCCTCTCCTCCTTCTTCCCTCTTTTCTTGCATTTTTTTCCAATCATACAAAAATCTCCATAGGCATTATATACACTTTCTGCCAAAAAGTGGGGGGGGGGCCCCTTACCGGTTCCACCAGCCATGCTAAATGTGGTTATACAATATTGTAAAAATAGGAACTCTTTTATTTTATTCAGGTATAAATTAAGACCACGACATATGCGTGACGTATCAAGTATTGACATGAGGCAGAATGTTCTGGGCTGTGACATTGAATTTCCGATTATTGTTGCACCAATGGCACATCAGAAAATGGCGCATCGTGATGGTGAGAATGCAACGGCAAGTGGTATGTACATAGTACTGGTTTATACGGTGTACGCCTAACGTTGCTGTTACTTTGCCAAATAATTATTTACGCATGAAATATAAATGTAAGCGTAAACTAGTCTCTTGCACAGTAAATGTCAAGTAGGATTTCTGTTGTGATACAGGTTTGATCCCGAAACCTTTGGTTTTCATATGAACTCGTCACTACAATAATTTTGTTGCACCTAATTCCAACATACACCTCATTTTTTGACGAAGGGTGTAAACATTTTTAAAAGATTGTTGATTGCTTGTTCAAATCTCTTTCATTTTCCTACCCTTGCTCACAAATACAAAATTTGTTTACAAATGTTGAAGTAATGTTACGTTTTACTGTATGTTGTGCATGTATCCTACACAATGTTGCTATTTAAAGTCAATCATCTCGGTATTTCTTTATTCAAAACCACCTTTGCTCCACCTTCGGTTGGGGCTGAGGTAAAACAAATTATAATTTTTGCACCTCTAGATGGCCAGAAAGGCACTCTCAGACCTAATTATAATTAAAATTATCTTTTTAATAATTTTGAAAAATTTAGGGGTGGGGAGAGGTACCTTGGCTGGCCCAGCCCCTCCCCCTCCTTGAATCCGCCACTGAAAGTAGAATTCTGTATCATGTCATATGTTTGTTTTACCAGAAAGTGATATCTTTCCTATATTTATTTGCATACTGTAAGCTCTTAAATTGGATGGTATTGGTAGGCAATAGTAATCAATTTAAGGTAAATTGATTCTGTAAATCAGTAAGAAGTAATTTTTTGATCTGTGTCTGCGTTTACATATTCTGTAATTGGATATATCCCTATAGCATGTGCTGATATGGGCACAGTGTTTACATTCGCACCCTGGACAACAACAACTATGGAAGAACTTATGTCAAACAGTCGAACAGGAACCAAGTGGCTTCAACTTTACATCAGTAAAGATCGAACAATAATAGCCGACATTGTACACAAAGCAGAACGAAACGGATTCAGAGCAATATTGGCAACGATTGATATCAAAGTATTGCCAAACAGATTAGATGACAAGATCAATCAATTTGAATTTCCAGTTCCTGAACATTTTCGGTTTGTATATATATATGTATATATTACTGTATACAAACACAAACCAAACACAATCTTCTTATTACAAGTTACCTTATACACCATTATGCAACTATTGTCAACGAAAAATCAACGTTATTGTCAAAAACTATTGCTCCAACATTAATGTCAAACTTGCTTTCAACTCATTTAAATTATTTAACTTTTTTAATGTAAAAGACTATGTCCCAACCAATCTCCGAGCCTGTGTTGTCTACAAATTTACTTGTGCAAGGTGTAACTCCGTGTATATTGGCAAGACCAATAAACACTTAACCCGCTCTCCCACTTGGAGTTTTTTCAGTATACGAGTTACAAGAGTTTGCCAAGTTCCCAACTCGGCAAAAACTGGTAGGAGGATTCGGAAAGCTCGGGGAGAACTCTTACCTACTCCTAACAGTTCTGAACTTGTGGCGCTAATTCTTCTAATTCTTATACACATGACTTACCATAGTATTCGTGACTTATACATGATTTACCTCAATATTTGTTTGTTTTATCTACATCTGCCCGGTATACATAAATGTGTGTGTATGTATGTGTGTATGTATGTATGTATGTATGTACTATATATATATGTGTGTGTGTTTGTGTGTGTGTGTGTGTGTGTG